AGGGTTTTTAGGGTGTATAGGTTTTTAGGGTTTTGGAGTATGTGAGTGGTGATGAAGGTAAGTGTTCTCATAAACTCTATCCTATGATTTAGTGAGTAAGTGGGTTAATTGTGAAATAGAGTGTTCCAAAATAATTTATGTATTTTTAATAATTTCATTTGAAATTATTATTATAATAAAAAAATGAAAGAAATGAAAGTCTAAAATATTAATTAAGGCGTTAATAACAACACTCTTTTACAATTCCTCCTTATTCACAACACCATTATTTTAGTTTTATTTGTGTGAGACCAAGAAATTTACTCATATAGATCGCTTGAGAAATTCAAGGAAGAGATGACTCCTACCGCACAAATAAAACACTGTTAAACTTTATGATTGGTGGGGTCCATCTCGAGAGTCCTCCAATGATGAAATTAGATGGTAATCCTCAATGAGAGAACCAAAGTTTGTCTGTTGCGTGTAAAGATAAGGCATACGTCTCTTCAAAAAGGTGGTTTTCCTTTTATAAAGGTAGTGGTCGAAAATTGTCCCAAAGCCTCAGTGGGGTGACCCCTACAATCTCCACTGTTTTTTATTGATTTATAATTTTTTTTTTTTTAATCTCTCACTTGCTGTCTCCCATATGGAGGTGAGAGTACTGGAGATCACCCCCACTGAAGGTCCCTAACCCTAATTGTGTTGTCTGCTTGGCTTCTTGGTTTGGAGTAGGCCATTGTGCCCTTTCCCAATGCTATTATTGTGTCCCCCCACAAATGCCACAAAACTTTCACTTTCTTTGATCCAAGTGAACAGGAGTGGAAGTTTTTCTTCTTGTTGTATTGCTACGACATGCCCTCCAAGTGACTTTAACTGACTGTATTTATACTATGTCTGAATACCAAAATATCATACCTAATTGAGTTAGGACTTTTAGCTGGAACGTTTGGCGAGAGATAAATTTTGGATGAAGAATATCTTTGATAAAGAATGATTAGCTGATATAGGTCTTATTCCTGAAGTGCTATGTTGAGCTATGTTGGTGGTGTTTGGTGTAGCTGTTAAAACAGATTATAGATTATAGCTTAACAGATTATAGATTATGACTTTAATCAGAAGCGGTTAATCTGTTTGGTATAGCTGTTGGATTATAGATTTAAGTTGCTGAGTAGTGTTTGTTAAATAAGCTGTGAAGTAGTTTTTTCAATTAATTTTTATTTTTTATTATTCACTATTTGTCTACATTTTTCATAAAAAATAATAATAATATTTAATAGTCCATTTGAGTCTTTTTCTATTTTTAAAAAAATAAAAAATAAAAAAATCTAAGAGTATAACCGTGAATTAACATGTCCACAGCAGAAGCTGATAATCAGAAGCAAGGGGTGAGCAGCTTCTCAGAATCAGCTTTTTTGACTTAAAATAAGTTGTTAGAATCAGAAGCTGTTTGAAATAAGTTTAACCAAACAGTCCAAAATAACTTTTTAAAAGCCAGAAGCTATAAGTTGGCTTAAAAAAGCTGCACCAAACACCCCCGTTGTTGATAAATAATACTTAGGAAGCTAGGGCTTTAGTTCAGGCCCCCCATTTTATAATCCGGTTAACATTATCGTAACCATTATTATTATTTAATTCCAGTTCATACATACGATGCAAAACGAATTATAGTTAAATAAAAATGTCCTTAAGCTTACATTAATACATAAAAAATAAAAAATAAAAAACTTAACCTTTAGAACATCAATGACATTCTGTGAGTGTTTGGAAAGTGAGTTTTTTTGTAGGTTTTTTTAGTTGTAGGACATTATTGGAGAAATTTTTTTTTGTGTTAGAAAGATAGTTAGGTTTTTTTGTGATTGGATGTTATGTTTGAGAGAGAAAAAGTGAAATGATTATGGGGTTTGATGTGATATTTTGTTTGGATTTTTTTTTTAACCAATTTGTCTTTTAGTGAAAAAAAATCAAAAAACTTCCTTCCCGAACACCACCTCTGTCTACAAGAATTAGGCCCATTTGCCAACAAATAAAGAAGATCCCTTGATCTTGAACTACTCTTCAACTTTGTACTTGAAAAAGGTATTTAACAATATAGGATGAACATATAGTCCAATAGATATCTTAATGACTCAAAATAATACCAGCACATGGATAACTATGATCATGAATGCTACACGAGATAAATATATGTAATATGATTTTTCATATAAAAAATATACTTACATATGTGAGAACCAATATTTAATTATTCTTAAAAATATCATATAAGATATGAATAATAAATTAATTTTGTCTAAAGACTATTTAATAAATATATTATTGTATAAATTAGTTTTAAACTATTCCAATTTAGTAACTAACAAAATTATTACTAAGAATAAATAATTTTGTGGGTATTTAATATTTTTCATTTGTAACTATTTTTGACAATGATTCAACTTAATAATTACCCTTCCTAAATATTTTGGTTGAAAATTTTACTTCATTCAATCATCTCACTTATACATCATTAGGTTTAAAATCCACAAATATCTTTCTTGTTCTGATTCACAAATGGAGAGAGAAGGGTGGAATCTGGTGATTCGTAGAAGAAGGGTAGGCTTGCAAGGAAATCGATCAGTGAAGGAAGGTTTGTTTACACTATTTGTGGATGATTTACCAAACTCTATGGATCCTAAGAGTTTGTATTCTCTGTTTGGAAAGTTCGGAGTTGTCAAGGATGTGTTCATTCCATCAAAGCGAAGGAAAAGTTTGGGAACACGTTTTGGTTTTGTGAGGTATGATTGTAAGGTAGCCGCTGATATGGCAATTCAAAAGGCGAATGGCCTGTGGTGTGATAATAAGGCATTAAGGGTGAAGCAAGCAGATGTCCAGAAATTAGAGCGCATGGGGGGGAAGGAGCGCCTTACAGGGGAAAAGAGGATAATGAGTGGGGTGCAGAAGGTATTTCCTCAAGTAGGAATGTAGAGCCATCATCGGCGATCCTACGCAGAAGTTGTGAAGCAGAGTACTGACTTTTGAAAAGAAAAGTTGGTAGTTCCAGCAAGAGAGGCTGGCAATGGATGGTTGTATGAAAGCCTGTTGGTCAGTCTTAAAGCAGTTTCATCATTTCACGAATTTGAAGCAGAGGTTAAGGAGCGCATGAAAGGAGTTTGAGTCAGAAGTGGAGGTGGTAAGTTAGCTATCTTAACATTCTCTTCAAAGCAACAAATGAATGAGGAAAGAGCGTGTATGGATGTGTGGATTTCTCCATGGAGTGACTCTATAATTGAGTAAGGGAAAGGAAAATCCATCTCAACTAAACGATGTGTTTGGATTTCTTGCATGGGTGTACCAATCAATTTATGGTGTACTAATACATTTCGTGATATTGGCAGCATTTGGGGTGAAGTGGTGCAGTTAGAAGAAGATATCAATAATCCTTACACCTTTGAGTATGGTAGGGTGAGGATTGTTACATCCACATTGGAGGTTATTAATACAGTGGTGTTTTTGGAGTGCAATGAATGCAAGTTTCCTGTTCGAGTTTGTGAAGATTACCCACTGTTTGATTTGTCCAAAAATTGCACAAGGGAGGTGAATTTCGAGTTTCTTGCGTCAAGTTCTCTGAGTGTTGCCTATGAACAGAAGTTAATCAATGATAATGGTAGCAAAGAAGATGAGGACGATGGGTTTGATAATTCGAAGGAGGTGGCAAAAGATTTAGCATATGTGGTAGATAATGATGTGGTGGCAAATTCAGTAAAGGACACAGTGGATAGAGAGCAGGTACAAATGAATGGAGTTAATGAGGCGTTGGCAGATATGGTGGTCAATGCAATAGAGCATGGTCTGGGAAGTATACAACGTAATGAAGGTGGTAATGTAGAAGGTCTGGAGTTGGTGATGAGCTCAAGGAATGAGGCGCCAGTTGAATTGCAAAAAGAGGTGGGCCGTGTTTGTTCATCTGAATTTGTAAGAAGTGTTTGTGAGTCTGATCGTGTAAGGCCCAATATTAATCTTCAAGTTGTTTTAAGTGGAATTCAGTCTGGGGCAGCAGTTGCAGGGCCCATTGGGGTAGATTCAAATTTAAGTGAAAGTGTAGCCCAATATCAAATTGGGCCATCTCTTTGTCCAAAACCAGTCCTAGATCAAAGAAGGATAAGGATATTGCGGCTAGGAGGGGTACGACTAATAATAAGGGGAAGAAGCAAGGTTCTCAATTGAGAAGAAGAGTCAAGCATCATCGAAGTCTTGCATTACAAAAGGGGTTTTGCCCCGTCCAAGTCTAAAAAATGGTGCTATTTTTCGAGCTGCTGCGGCCACAATTTCAGCTTCAATTTGACATAGTAATGCTTTAAGAAGGAGGAGAGAGATTCGGGAGGAGGCTCTTGCTACCTTGCAAGTAGGGAAGGTTCTTGGGATGGATTGTAAAGATAAGGAGCAGGAGGTTGTCAACCGAATTGTAATGCTGGAACTGAAGGATAGGGAGATGGTGGAGGAGGCTGAAGGGGCTGTTTAGGCTGTTCAGTAGGCTCTGGGGGTCAGGTGAGTGTCTGACATTTATAGATGAAGATAGCAACATGGAATGTTAGGGGATTGGGAAAACCAGAGAAGAGAAGGAGCATTAAGAAGCTAGTTAATGATAGAAAGATAGAGGTTTTGCTACTTCAAGAAACTGAGAAAAGCAGTGTTGAAGTTGGGTTCATCAAGTCTTTGTGGCTAGCAGAGGATGTGGGCTTTTTGAAGGTGGGTGCCGACGGCAGTGCAGGTGGTCTTCTCTGCTTATGGAATCCTGAGGTATTTGAACTTAAAGAGTGCTGCTGCAACAAAAGTTTTATTTTGATGGCAGGAATACTTAATCACTCGTTTGAATGTGTAGTTGTTAATGTGTATGCACCAAATGATGTTAGTGACCGGAGGACTTTATGGGAATCATCGTCCAAATTGAGAGTAGTTTTTTCAAGTCTCTGGTGTATTGGGGGTGACTTCAATGAGATTAGGTTTATGAGTGAGAGGAAATGGTGCATAAGAAGAGATAGGGGATGAAGGACTTCAATGAGTTTATCTACACTATGGAGTTGCAGGACTTGCCAATGTTAGGAAGATCATTTACATGGTGCAATGATGTGGAGGGTGAGAGGTGGAGCAGGTTAGATAGATTTATTTTGGACATTGGCTGGCTTGAGAAATTCTCCTTTAAGCAGTGGGGATTAAATAGAAGTATTTCTGATCATTGTCCAGTTATCATTATGACTGATGAGAGGGACTGGGGTCCAAAACCATTCAGGTGTATTATAATGCTTGGAGCTTACATCCAAATTTTGTGGTTACAGTTAAGACTGCATGGAATAGTTGTCAGGTAAGCGGGTGGGCTAGTTATAGGATTATGAAAAAGTTGGGGCACTTGCGAGGTCAATTACGAAGATGGAATAGTGAAGTGTTTGGTAATGTGGATGAAAAACTGAAAAAACCTGAGGATGAATTGCATGAGTGGGACCTAAATGCTGAGTCTAGAGATTTGCAGGAGTTTGAGAAAAGTCGCAGAAGAGAGGTGCAAGGTTCAGTTTGGGACCTGAAGATAAAAAAAGAGAACATGTGGCAGCAAAAATCCAGGTTACTTTGGACTGAAAATGGTGATAAGAATTCAAGGTTTTTTCATATGATGGCTAGTAGAAGACAGAGGAAAAATATGCTTGAGACGCTCGAGCGTGGAATCCGAGCATCCAGTATCTCTGCACTGTTTTACAATCCGCTTGAGCGGAGTCATGTGTCTCAAGCTCGAGCGGGCGTCGAGCGTCCGTCGAGCGGAGATTTCACCTATCCAGCATTTTTGACTGTTTTGCATAACGCTCGAGCGGGTAAGTCTGCGCTCGAGCGGAAACCTTTGTCTGCATGTCCGCTCGAGCGGAGTGACCTACGCTCGAGCGTGACCCCTATTTTTTAAAAAATCTGAAAATGCTTTTAAAAGTACAACTTCGCATCCTCATCCTATTCTAGGCATTCTTAGGCCTAGTTTAAGACATTTTAATGAGGAAATAGATGTAGAACACACTGAGGCAAATTAGGGATTAAGTTATTATCTTTCCCAGCTGTGTAGCTTAGTGTGTTCAATCTGTTAACTGTGTAGGTTTGGCTTTCTGAGGAGACGCTCTAGCTTACTGTAGCCCAGAACTCTGTGAGTAACGATTGTGTAAAGATATGTTCACAAATGATTATATTCTGAACAACTGAACTGTACTGTTTTCTGAACTGATTACTGTCAACTGAATGAATGTATGTCCTATATTCTGAACTGTATTGTGGCATCCTTAGCACCCACTGTTTACTGTTACTGTGACAGAATTCTCTGTCGGTTCCCTTGTTGGAACCACTGCTGTTTACTGACTGATGGCCATCATTACTGTTCGGTCTTTTTAGACCTACTGTTTACTGTACTGTTATGCTAACGGGTGTACCACATATGACTGTACTGACTGAACAACTGAAATACTGTTTGAATGAATTGTTTTCATACTGTAAGGACATTCATTCTTAACCCCTTTACGCATTATGTTATTCACTGGACTTTAGCTCATTGCTCATATATATATGTAGGTGAACAGGCACTAGACCGCGGCTAGGAGCGTCAGGGTTACTCCAGTTTTGTCAAGCCAACTACCGTGCCTCACTGTGAGGTTCCAAGCCTATCATACTAAGGCTTAGGGGTGTTTTAGGACTCCCCCTTCTGTACTGTCTTGCCATTTTGTAATAACCGAATGGATTGTATAGACTGAATGTTTACTGTACTGTTACATAGGGCTTGAGTCCCTATTCTGCATGATTGTATATATTGTGTTTACCTTTCCACTGAATGTAAATACGTTTGGAAAGTCTTTTTGCATGCAGACTGTCACAGCTCATTGGGCATTGTTTCTTTACTGTATTGGCTTCCACCAGGCCCTGTACTCTGTTTTACTGTACTTCTGTTAAGCAGGCCTTCGATAATCTCGGATTACTGACCAATTACGGTGCTAAACCCATAGGGCCGGGTTTGGGTCGTGACAGAGTGGTATCAGAGCGATGCTTACCACGAGTTATACCGCACACACGTGTCCAAATGAGCTATAGGGTGTCCTAGAAAAGTAATTAGGGCATCTCATGAGCATCATAAGTGTGTAGTTATGTTACGACTGAATATATGCTAACGTGTTAAACTGTTAAACAAATGACTGCTTATGTTTAAAACTGTTATAACTGCTTATAGTGAAATGGATAACGCAAACACTACAAATGAAACTGAATCCTCATCCTCTGAGGCCCGAATGGCCAGACTGGAGCAAATGATGGAACTGATAACTGCGAGACTGGATCAACAACTGAACCAACAGCCCCTACCTCCTCCTCTTCCGGTAGTACCGGAACAGAATGTGAATATGAATGTACAAAATATGAATGCTAATGATGGGGACATAATTGTACTGACCCATAAGTTCAGCAAAATGAAACCGCCATCCTTTCAGGGAGGCCTTGAACCGCTAAAAGCTGAAGCATGGGTTCTGGAGACTGAAAAATTGTTTGAAGTTTTCCCGTGCTCTGAAGCACACAAGGTACTGTTAGCCACCTTTACATTGCAAGAAGAAGCTAGAAGGTGGTGGATGCTCATCCGTGATGAAAATACCGTTCTGACTTGGGCTCAATTCAAGGGAGCCTTCTTTGAAAAGTATTTCCCTCAGTGTGTTAGGGACAGAAAAGTAACTGAGTTTGAACAGCTGAGACAAGGGGCAATGTCTGTGGCTGAATATGAGACAAAATTCACCGAGCTTGCTAGATATGCACCGCATATGGTGGATACTGAGTATAAGAAGGCCAGAAAATTTGAAGGCGGCCTTAATGTTGCAATTCTTGACCGAATAAATGTTCTGAAACTACTGAATTATGTAAATGTTCTGGACAGAGCCTTGATGGCTGAATCAAACATTGAAGCACTGAAAACTGAAACGCCATTGCCTGAATGGCGGGGTAAAAGACAGGGTTCCAAGTTTAAGAAAGGCAAGCATAACCCATTGAACAAGAAACATAATACGGGGTCAACGACTACGTCTAGTCAAGGAAATCGTACAATACCGCCCTGTTCTGAGTGTGGTAAAAATCACAAGGGAGTTTGTTACAAGATATCAGGAGCCTGTTATAGGTGTGGCAAAGTAGGCCACATGGTTAAAGGCTGTCCCTCTGCTCCACAAGCTAGTAGTAAAGCTACACCAAGCGTAGCGGCATCAACTGTTACACCGAAACTGAACCCCAAAGCTACCGGGAAAGAGCCTATAAGGCAAGGCCGAGTGTTCGCCCTAGTACCGGGAGACGTCCAGAATACCGAGACCATTGTGTCAGGTATTCTCTCTATTTGTACTCAGAATGCTTATGCACTGATTGATTCGGGGTCTACGCATTCTTATGTGTCGCATGCTTTTTCGCGTAAACTGAATAGACCCTTAGAACCCATGAATTATCTGTTAGCTGTATCATCACCCATTGGGGAATCTATGACCTGTGAATATATGTACCCTGCTTGTGAAATTATTGTTGAAGATGCACATCTGTTTATCGATTTACTGCCATTGAACATTGACCATTTTGATGTTATATTGGGGATGGACTGGTTAACGAAATATCATGCCACCATAGACTGTGTAACGAAACAAGTAGTTTTCCGTCCACCTGGTCTGCCTGAATTTGTGTTTAACGGAGTTGGAGTAGTACCTCCTTCGTATTTGATTTCATCTGTCAAAGCCGTTAAATTGATTAGAAAAGGATGTAAAGGGTATCTGTGTTCTGTATTGACTGTATTTACTGATGATAGTGCTAATGTGAACAGTATTCCTATAGTCAGAGAATTCCCAGATGTTTTTCTAGATAATTTGCCAGGGGATTTAATTGATAGAGAGATTGAATTTACCGTTGATGTGATTCCTAGAACACAGCCAGTTTCTAAAGCTCCATACCGAATGGCTCCAACTGAACTGAAGGAACTGAAAGTGCAACTGCAAGAACTGTTAGACAAGAAGTTCATCAGACCTAGTACCTCACCGTGGGGCGCACCTGTTTTGTTTGTAAAGAAGAAAGACGGCTCACTGAGACTGTGCATTGACTATCGTGAACTGAATAAGGTAACTGCAAAGAATAAATACCCATTACCACGTATTGATGACCTGTTTGATCAGTTACAGGGTGCTACAGTATTTTCGAAGATTGATCTCAGATCCGGATACCATCAGTTGAAAGTTAAATCAGATGACATTGATAAAACTGCTTTTAGAACGAGGTATGGACATTATGAATTTTTAGTTATGCCTTTTGGAGTTACCAATGCACCTGCTGCATTCATGGACCTCAAGAACAGAATCTTTAAACTGTACCTTGATAATTTTATTGTTGTATTTATTGATGACATATTGATTTACTCCAAGAATGTAGAAGAACATGAACATCATCTGAGACTTGCCCTACAGACCTTAAGAGAACAGAAACTGTATGCTAAACTGTCTAAATGTGAATTTTGGCTCGATCATGTTATGTTTTTGGGGCATGTTGTTAGCAAAGATAGAATTTCTGTTGATCCGCAGAAAATCGAAGCTGTAGTGAACTGACCTAGACCAACCAACGTGACTGAAGTCCGAAGCTTTTTGGGTTTGGCCGGATATTACAGAAGATTTGTCAAAGATTTCTCCAAAATTACTTTACCATTGACTTAACTGACTCAGAAGGGGATATCATTTGACTGGACTGACCAAAGGGAATCTGTCTTCCAAGAGTTGAAAACTCGATTAGTGACTGCATCGGTTCTTACCTTACCTTCAGGTACGGATGGTTATACTGTATTTAGTGATGCTTATCATAAGGGTTTGGGATGTGTTTTAATGTAGAATGGGAGAGTAATTGCCTATACTTCCCGACAACTGAGACCGCATGAAAAGAACTACCCGACCCATGATCTGGAACTTGCTGCAGTAGTATTTGCACTGAAAATCTGGCATCACTACCTTTATGGGGTAACATGTGAAGTATATACCGACCACAAGAGTTTGAAATATTTCTTCACATAGAAAGAACTGAACATGAGACAGCGGAGATGGCTAGAACTGATAAAGGACTATGACCTACAGATCTTGCACCATCGGGGAAAAGCCAACACCGTTGCCGATACACTGAGCCGGAAATCGACTGGAAACTTAGCATGTTTGCTTACCGGACAGAAAGAGTTGCTTTGTGACCTTGAAAAATCTAAAATTGAAATTGTTTACAAGAACAAGGTGAAACCTTAGCTGCTATTTCTGCTCAACCGGCATTGATTGAAGAGATTAAAGAGAAACAGTAACTGGATGACTTCTTGAAAAAGATCATCGAAGAAAGAGAATCTAAACCGAGACCGGGATTCAAATTTGAGAATAATGTACTGAAATTTCAAGAAAGACTGTGTGTACCGAATGATACTGAACTGAAAAGAAGAGTTCTGCAAGAAGGCCACAATTCGAAATTGTCTATCCATCCAGGGAACACGAAAATGTACCAAGATCTGAAACAGAATTTCTGGTGGCCGGGAATGAAGAAAGAAATTGCTGATTTTGTATCCAAATGTCTTCATTGCCAACAGGTCAAAGCGGAACATCAACGAC